GCGCCAGGGCAGGCAGCTGCCCAGTGCTGAGTGGGACCTCGGGCTCAGGGAGAGGAAAAAAACCTGTAAGAACTCAGTTCCCTGAAACTTTCCAGTGTTCTTGTTTCTGATCAAGCAGGTTGAGGAAACAGTACTGAGAAATACCTCACAGAGGAAGAGCGTGGCATGAGGTGAGGGGGTGCACTGCAGGGAGAGTGAGCTGAAGGTTTTCAAATGCAGATGCTGGGAGAAGCCCAAGGACAGCTGATGGCACAACCAGATCACTGACTCCTGGGAAAATTTCCAGTTTTCAAAAAAACCAAATAAATTAAGGAAACAGAACGATCAACAATATAATTGCAAGCTGAAAAAACTGATGGGATGGGAATTTCAGACATCCGTTCTCTGCTCATACAGAAGAGAAACAAACATCGAGCCTGTAGCATAAGACCAAAACACGGGGAACCAGCCAGAGCTCTACCAAACCCTGCTCCACTGGTGCTGCTGCCCAGGAGTGGTGACCATAAGGCCTCTGAAGAATGCAGGATATTTGGAGAAGCTGATCTGACGTTCTGGTAGAAGCAAAGCTGGAAATCCCATGAGCAGTAAAAGGCAAACTGAAACCCGCAAGAAGAACGGCCTCTGCAATACAGAACTTTTATAAAGGAGGAGAAGTTACTTCAATTACTTGCATAGAAATGTAAGAGGAAGTGAGTAGAAATAATAAATTCCCATTTGTGAAAGCGGGAAAGATATTTTTTAATATATTAATGCCTATTTCTACCATTTCACAGAATATGTCACTTTGGGATAAACTATTTTTAGGACCAATTACTGTTGGTATGGAACAGTACACAAATTTCATGAGCCTCCACTGGTTAAGTAGAAAAGAGCTGTGGGCACATGCTACATAACCATCCCCCCCAGCAATTTTTAGGATGCTCCCAAGAGCAAAGAGCCAACAGCTTTATTCCAGCAGAGAGAGGGACTGAGGGTAATCACTGCTGCAGACTCCACTCTCATTTGCATGCCTGGTGGGAAGAGCAGGGGAACAGCACTTAACACATCACAAGTTTGGGACTGAAAGGAATTCCATGTTTTAAATGTTCATTCTGAAAAGAGACATAATTTATTAATTAATGATCCTCTTATTTTTAATAAAGGAGCTTTCTTACTAACACGAATTCAATCAGACCTAAAAAAGGTGAGTTTGACCAACAGTGCCAAGTAACTTACGATGGCTTTGTACTAAACCCTTGAAAATAGCACCATGACTAAGTAGCCACTGAAACACACCTTCGCCACCAAACCCTAATGCACCACCATTGATCTCTTCCGAGCTGCTCACGCTGGAGTGTGCCATTAGTAGCTCAAAGGCTGAAAAGTAACAAGCTTCCCAACCAGGCTCAGAGCCCTTTCTTGCAAGCTTTCTTTTCACGCTTCAGAGAGATTTCATACCTTTTAATTTAAAGATATTTTAATTCTCCAAGTTTCACAAGTCCCGGTGGCTTCACTAACTAGTTCTTTTAGCGTTCGGTCTGCCTTTATTGAAATAAGAACCTTAATTAAAATGTATTTAAATTGAGCTGAATCATCCCACGATTGCTCATCTAAATCCAAAGCTATTTTCTAAATTTAAAGCTGCATCATTTCTTGTTAATTCAGTGGCCAAATAAGAAAGTTGTCACTCCTGAGTAAGACTCTGTGCTACTATTCTTAGCAGCAGTTCTCCAGTCAGCGCCCCAGGACTTAGTCTCTCCTCTGACTGGTCACATACATGTTGTTTTCCCCAGCATTAAGAAAACCATGCTCTTCCAAACTTCTGGCCTCAGATTTCTTTCATTCATACTGTTCCTTTTTATACCCCAGCACGCTATTCACATGCACACCAGCCTGTCCTTACTCTTGACAGTTCTGAGTAGCACCTGCCCTTCACCACCCATTTCAGGTCACAACGCTATCCCACCAGTGTTTTGTTGCAGGTATAAAGAGTTTTTACGTTCTACACCAGTAGTTCTTGTTCCTCTGGTTTGCTGGCTACACTCCTTGCATTACTGTGCAAATATCTCAGTTCTTTCATAAACACCACACCCAGCTCTGGCTGCTCTACCGAGCGCAGCCTTTTCACCAATTACTTATCCAATTACTCTTCTCATCAAGTGGAATACTTTCCTTCCCTACGCTGTCCATCATTTTCCCCCTCTAGTATCCTTTATGTATATTATTCTCCTCTTCCTGCGTACAGACATGGCGATGAACCAAGTCTCTCCCATGGGTCTCCTTTCTTTTCTTAACTCAAAGTTCTTCTCAGCATCTCAGACCAGCCAGTCCAGTGAGACCTACACCCCAAACAAAAGCAGAGCCTACCTATGAGAAATGGTCCTTTTATAAAATGCTTTCTGGCCATATACCAAATATTCTTTGTAACTCCAGTCTCTGAATCAACATCAACTTGTTGCATCCTCTATGCAACAGCTTAAATTGCTGACTAATACACTGGGCAACAAAAAAAGATAAAAAATACTGTTTCTACTTATGCGGATGTTCCAATATTCCCACAAGTGAAGCCTTCAGTGCTTTTTGAGTAAATCCAAATATTAACATGACTCTGATTTTTCCAGAATTTTATTAGGTCCCCTAGTTCCATGTTTGGCCAAAGTTAGCAAAAAAAGGGGAATAACAGACATCCACATCATAAAGAATATCCTTCAACAGAGTATCAATGAAACAGCTTAATTTGCAATATCAGAAGAAACTACCAACAGGTGTTTTTCCCTCTGTGCTGCAAATATATACTCTTAAACTAACCAGCCAAAAAGCTTTTTAGAAAAGAGCACTGAACACATTCTTTAAATAATTTGTGCGTAGAACACACTGGGAAGATGGGTAACCAGTTTCAAAAATCCTTTATGTATATTATTCTCCTCTTCCTGCGTACAGACATGGCGATGAACCAAGTCTCTCCCATGGGTCTCCTTTCTTTTCTTAACTCAAAGTTCTTCTCAGCATCTCAGACCAGCCAGTCCAGTGAGACCTACACCCCAAACAAAAGCAGAGCCTACCTATGAGAAATGGTCCTTTTATAAAATGCTTTCTGGCCATATACCAAATATTCTTTGTAACTCCAGTCCCTGAATCAACATCAACTTGTTGCATCCTCTATGCAACAGCTTAAATTGCTGACTAATACACTGGGCAACAAAAAAAGATAAAAAATACTGTTTCTACTTATGCGGATGTTCCAATATTCCCACAAGTGAAGCCTTCAGTGCTTTTTGAGTAAATCCAAATATTAACATGACTCTGATTTTTCCAGAATTTTATTAGGTCCCCTAGTTCCATGTTTGGCCAAAGTTAGCAAAAAAAGGGGAATAACAGACATCCACATCATAAAGAATATCCTTCAACAGAGTATCAATGAAACAGCTTAATTTGCAATATCAGAAGAAACTACCAACAGGTTTTTTTTCCCTCTGTGCTGCAAATATATACTCTTAAACTAACCAGCCAAAAAGCTTTTTAGAAAAGAGCACTGAACACATTCTTTAAATAATTTGTGTGTAGAACACACTGGGAAGATGGGTAACCAGTTTCAAAAGTTTGATTGTTAGACCTACTTCTCTAATTTTACCAGAACAATACGAATATTTAGAATAGTTTGCGATGTTCCAATATTCTCACAAGTGAAGCCTTCAGTGCTTTTTGAGTAAATCCAAATATTAACATGACTCTGCTTTTTCCAGAATTTATTAGGTCCCCTAGTTCCACGTTTGGCCAAAGTTAGCAAAAAAGGGGGAATAACAGACATCCACATCATAAAGAATATCCTTCAACAGAATATCAATGACACAGCTTAATTTGCAATATCAGAAGAAACTACCAACAGGTGTTTTTCCCTCTGTGCTGCAAATATATACTCTTACACTAACCAGCCAAAAGCTTTTTAGAAAAGAGCACTGAACACATTCTTTAAATAATTTGTGCGTAGAACACACTGGGAAGATGGGTAACCAGTTTCAAAAGTTTGATTGTTAGACCTACTTCTCTAATTCTACCAGAACAATATGAATATTTAGAAGAGTTTGTTTTTGTAAAATACCAATGTTACTATTTCGTAGCACCTCTCTGAAACAGCTTAGAAGTCACAATGATGACAGACTGAATGCTGCAATGACAATGCCACAAAGTTCACGTTTTTCTCTCCCAAGCAGATTAAGCAGTTTAGTGGGAAAGAATTTCTTAAAACAGTTTTTTAATGTAATTTATTCACACTGTAGAGATAAAGGTTTTGAATTATGCCCCAGTCGAATTCATGCTTTCAGATTCCTGCTTCTTTTCTTTTAGCTAAAAAAAAAATTATAGGTCCTTTCACTTTTAAGACCCACAGAAAAAGAATTGCTCTGGCCTCTTTGTCAAGAACAAATGAAAATGTTCAAAATTGTCATTATATATCCATAATAAAAAAAACCAGCTCAGTATCCAGTAGCTTTAGCAGAGAACCACTGCTGCTGAGAGGCTCCTGAGAGCGCACGACCATAAGAGTTTATGAGGAGTAAATACAGCAGCTTGTTTGGCAGAGCAAAGTTCTCCACTTGAGCACAAGAAGCATAATCAGAACATGGAGCAATAAAACACGTTCTCTACCCAAGTTCAACAAAGTCACCCGGCACAGCCCGAGTGACACACTCATACAATCAGAGCAGTCATTCCGAATTTAACCACAGGCCTATGTGTCATTTTGGTTTAATCACAACATGATTTTTTCCTTGTCATGAAATTTGCTTTTTTAGACAACAAACTCTCCTCATCTCCAGGATACCTACCCAGACTGTAAGAATGGAAGGGTAACTCAGACAAACAAAAACTGTAGCATTAGTTGCACAAAACAAAGAGAAGCCAACTCAAAGTTTGTTAGCAATGGGTACAGCTCTACCAAACAATCGCCACTTTTAAATAAAAATAAGCAAGCCGTCCTGAAGAGTCAAGGTACTGGGGAGAGTGGTCTTCTCAGCTTTACTCACCTGGACAGTCAACTTCATCGCTCTCGTCCTCGCAGGTGGGCCACCCATCACACTGCCAGTTGGAAGGGATGCACTGGATGGTCCCGCTCCGGCAGGCGAACTGCTTCGGCGTGCAGCGCAGCTCTAGGGGAGAAGAAGGTTGTGCTTTGTAGGAAAATGTTATTTATTCTTGCAGGTCTGTATATATATTAATCGACTGTCACGTAATGTATCACTCAGTAACTCAGCCTGGTAAAAACTGCTTTGTTTGAGATCACTTCCACGTTTTTAAACTGCACGTTTGTGGTTTCAACAGACAGGAAGGCTGGCTTCCAGTGCTTGGGAAATAATTCTCTCAGTCATCCGTAGTAAAAGGGGCCTGATAAAGACACGATGTGAGCAGCTATCACCACGGCGTTACCCATTTACTTCTCGAGGGGCACTGAGGACTACTCATTCACTTTTCTCAGAACCAAAGTTCAACTAAGATACGCTACGGTAGTTAAGTGCTAGATTAGGCAATAAATTCAGAATCCCATCTCCATTCCATCACCACGTACGCCAGGACCCGCCAGACTTGCCCAAACGTCCAGCCTGATTTAGAGCCATTGCACAGAACTGTTTGTAAAACAATTACTATATCCATGAACCTGTTTTCACTTTCTGGCTTCAGCTTTTTTGTGGAGTTTCTCAGTAGAACACATCCTTCACAAGAACCTGTCACCATCTGCAAACATGTAGTTCCTGCTTCTGCAAAGTACTGCCTACTTATCATTATACTGTCACACCTAATTAGCATTACAAAAAGTACCATATTCTTTTCCCCCAAAAGCTTTTTTATACCAATCCCATCTACCAAATGCCAGAACCTAATAATTCAGCTTCGTTTTGTGTCCCTCCAAATATTTCACAGAGGAAAAAAATGTTCTGTCTCCACAAGTGAATAATTTTAAGGTTGTTCACAGACAGCAGGTCTGCAAGTCACCATTAGCATCCATAGGCTCATTGTCACACCAGACCATCACCATCCATCTTTCTTCTGGATGGTGGTTGTCCATTTTCCAACCAACATTTTTGAACAATTTAGCACAAAATAGCTACAATAATCCCAGGTATGTTATGTTTGAGAATGAGCACTTTTTTTTTTAAAAAAAAAAAAAAAGGAAGAAAAAGTATTTTAAAGTAAAACATGCTCATCCCTGATTTTGAAAGAATCAAGTAGGTGACTTGTCTCGCAGGGAGAAATCTCTAAAAGCAAATTCAAAATACAGGTATGTGTTCTCTCATCCACAGTCTACAACCTAAGAAAGGAGATGTAATTGCAGTTGTTGCCTTCTTGAAGCACACTTCTAAACTAGACCGAGACAGGGGTCACACTTCACTGTTCTGAGACACGACGAGGCATAATAAAACCAGTCATCAGGCACTCTCAATAAAAGCTGTACCCATACACCTGGTAATTGGTACAGGGTATTGATAACAGGCTTCTAATTCCATGTTAGGCTAAAATCCGGTTCTAGTACTGGTTTCTCTTCAAAACACAGACCTGCTCTTCTAGAAAAATAAAAGCAGGCACATCCTCTTAGCAACCACCTACTCGGAGCAAACATTCAGGTCACAGAAGGGCTAAGGATTCCCACCAACCTGCCAGACTACGAGGGGAACGACCGCCCTTCCAGCCAGACGAGGGGCTTCTCACCCCCCCAGAGCTCCACTCAGCCCCAACAGCCATCACTGAACCAGCACAGGGGAAACGTGAAAAATAAATAAATAACAATATTCTACCAGCTTATGTCATAATCATTTCTCCTCCTTCCCCCAGAACACAAACTGAATTTATGTATTTAGCCCAAAGAGAGAAAGGAGGAATAAAACCTTTTATTCCCCCTGATTAGGGGAATAAAAGGTAAAGCTTCAGGTAAATCACTGCAGCTCTTCTCACCACTTTTGCCCAAGGTGAGCAGGCAGAGAAGGTTTCTTAGGAAGTTCTACCATTGCAGTTTCAAGTACAGAATTTACACTGGAGCCTGTGGGAGATATTTTAACACGTGAAAGACCATCCTCAGCCCAGCTCCAGGTTCCCATTGCATCCACCTGCAGTTACCGCAAAATTCAGTTCAAAATTCAATACTTTAAATAAACTCCTAATTTTTTTTACTGCTTGATTTTAATGGCAGACCCCCTGGGAGGAAAAGCTATTCTACAGCCCTCTGGCTCCCCGGGCAGCACCCACCAAGAAAGCACGACCAGCCAACATGTGCATGGGAAAACCAGGAAAGAATATTCCTGTCTCTCTAGAATTTCCTACGCGCTGTTACTATTTCATGTACAATTACATATGAGTGACTCGGATAAAAGGATGACTCCATCCCAATATTATGAGCATTAAAAAAAAATGCCAGTTACATGCCGTAATGTCATTGCTTCCTGTGTTACAGACACTCCTCTCTGAAGAATGTGGATACATGGAAGAGCACAAAACATTTCTATTAAAACACCGCTCAAACCAGCTGAACGATTGTTCCCAATGGAAACCATGCTCTGTGAGATGCTCTGATTACTGCAGCCCCAGGAACAGGAACTGCTACGCGATGCTACTGCAGAAGGGGGGAAAAAAGTGACACAAAAAGAAATACTGCGAATCGAAAAATCTCCATATTCTGCAAACACTGCCAATAACACCTCCCGAGCCACCCAAACCCAGGGCCCCTGTCCCCACGCGTTACTGAACTACCTAAATCATGAGGCAGCTTCTGGAAGAGTTTCATCACAATGGTTTTGCTTCCCTGTGCTGCTTCGTGTGGTTCAGCACAGAGAGAAACACGACGCAACCGTCTTGAGAAAATTTGACCCCTCTCTGCTGTGCTCAGGGAGGCTTTGGACACACCAACGGCCTCCTCGAGGACCGATGCTGAAGATCAGCTCTTTGGGGAACCTCTCACCACTGATGGGACACAGATTTCCACTAAGGCCCCACCGTGGGCACCCAGAGAAGACACGGCAGCGGGTGACAGCTCAGGAACCCCCAGCTGAGAGCAAGGGCCACCTCCCATCACTGTCTCCTCACCCCACGTGCCCAGATCAAGTCTCCCAGAGCAGATCAGAGCCCATCAGCTGGCCAGGGCAGCAGCCTCCAGGGGCTAAATACACACATAAACATAGAAAGAAGCCTATAATGAACCTGTGAGATACTCGGCCAGGGAACAGAAAAATTTAGGGAAGGCGAGGATGCAGAGAAGAAGTGCCAGTCTCCACAGCCCTGTCAAGCGTTTCATTTCGATAGCCTATTTTTAAGTCAAAACAGCAGAAAAATGGAAACATTTCAAGCCAGTCTCAAGTGGTACTGCCAGCAGCAGAACAGGATCCACGAGGACACACAAGCACTAGCAAACAGCAGCACAACACAACACAACCATCCATCTTCCCTGAAACGCAAGTAATCACTTAACACACGACTGTGCCAAATAAAAAAAATGGTTTTTTTCACCCATATAAGATTTCCAGTTCTTCAAAAGAAGAGAGTTTCAAAAATACTCATCCCACTTCTGTCCCTAAAGTCCAATATCCCACACGGTTCATAGCTACTGATGGTAACGCAGTGAGGAAGGATGAGGAAAAAAGTTATCTTAAACTATCACCTCCCAGCACTAAAAACACATTTTCCACCAGCTGTTGAAGCAGAAACATTGTGTATTTTCAATATTGTTCGAAAATACGTAATAGCACAGTTTCAGCTCGAAGGGAGCAGCTGCTGCAGCAGAGGCACCGACACAACATCAGCCACCGGCATCAACAACTGCCCAGGAGTGAAAAAATAGAAATGCAACCACCTCCAGCGTTCACGTACAACATGACAAGTTACACCAGCACTGTTATGATTCACATATGAAATTCTAACATAAAAGGCTTTTTTTTTTCTCCTTTTAACGATCAGATGCAGTCTTTTCAGTCTACTAAATTCTGTGCTGTAGCATAGCAATCTCATTTTAGAGCAATTAAATTCATCTGGCATTTGCTGGGAAGAAGGGAGGCACGTAAAATACTGCAAATAGCAGCAATTGTGGTTTCTGCACTATACATAATATAAAATTCCAAAACATCACGGAGTTCAAGCAGTGTGAGAACGTGAAAACACTTCCAGCAGCAAGGTGTTATACAGTCTCTTCGTATCATCTCCAGGCACTTCTAGAGGGTTAACCCTCAACCATCTCACCAACCACCACATCTTCCCCCCGCTGCTCTCAACGAAGGACAGAGAAATTACACAGGAGAAGGAAAACTGAAATCGGGTTCAGACCATGTATCGGTTCTACAAGCTTCATATATCACCCGAGATAAAACTTACTGCCTTGTGAAGGTTAAAAAGCCCAACACCAATTTGTCAGGACAAACAAATAATATATCCTGCCCAGGAGTCACTCACCCGAAAGAAGTCTCGCCAGAGCCAGCTGTGGGCCTGTCATTTGAAATCTAAAAGAAAACTTACAAAACAGTCGGAAACTAGATTAATCAAACACCATTGATACCAGTGGTGTTTGATTACCAAACACCAAAATAAAGATTATAAATACATTTAAAGTACCATACAAACAAGAACTCTTCATCTCCTTTAGCCGCCAACTATTATTTTTCTAAGTTAGTGACGAAACAGACAAGCTGTTTGACTAACAGAAACATCTAAGCTTTCAAGGTGGTTGCTTACACTCTGACATGGAGCTTTTCTTCCAAAGATTTTCCCAATTCCGCGTTGAATGCCAGGCATTTCACAGCACTCATCGCTTAGTTCAGTACAGGGCTCAAACTAGCTTTTAAAATTTTCTTTACAGCACGCTCATTCTCAGATTTTCTGTGACATACTCAAACCAGACATTTACAACGAGCATCATCCACAGGAAGGACTTCACCTCAGAGGAATAAAATACACACCCACCCTGCTGTCATTTCCAGCCAGCTTCACACCACGCATAAAACACCTTTTTGCCTTTATGAAAGGATCCGGGAAACCCTCCCTTTCAGGCTTAATCACCTTGTGGAATCTTTGAGTGGAATTGGGAATGTTTTGCAGCCCCAGCGCATCCTCCCCCAGCTAGGGCGTTAACTCTACCTGCATTTTCTGCTTCATTTTAAGCCCTTTCAGAGGTGTATTTGGACTAGGACACCTCCTG